CTATAGATACGTGTCACCATACCCGGCTAATATCTTTTAAATTTTTTTGTAGAGATGGGTCTTGCTATGTTGCCCAGGCTGGTCTTGAATTCCTGGGCTCAAACGATTCTCCTGCGTCGATCTCCCAAAATGCTGGGATTACAGGCATGAGCTACTGCACCCTGTAGCCTTTTAAGCCTCCAGTAACCCCAGGATAGTGCTATGGGGCTAACTGGTGGACGCCTTTGGAGGAAGCATCCCAGTCTAGCAGGAAAGCTGGAGAGTAGTGAGTGATGCCTACCAGCCTGGGAGTGTAATGACCCAGAGAGGATGGCCACAGCGTGGAGGGGAGGAAGGGCAGATGAAAAGTGCTAGATGCAGGGCATCAGTAGGCCCTAGGAAATGGCAGTACCCATCCACTTTCCCCACCAGTCTACAGCTGGGATTTTGTGGTTTCTCTTCAGCCTGTCTCCTTTCACAAACAGACGTGCACATTAGTACCACTTGCCAGCTCACCCCTCATTCCCACCCTTATTCTGCCTTTATCTTCACTTTCAGCTTATGCAAAACCATGCCCTCCATGCTGCCCACAGACTGATTTCCAACAGGGAATTTCAAAAGGCTTTTAGGTGGCTTTTGGGAGAAGATACATTAGGATTGCACCGTATGTCTAGAGCTAGCCTGAGCCCCTGGGAAAATTAGGACGGGCTCATAGTCACTGCTATTTATTTAGTTCCTCGCAGCATTTACTGAGGTCCTACTACATGCCTGTCATGAGAGTGCTGGACCTGAAGAGATGGGAAAGGTCAATGAGTTTATCAAAGAGACAGATAACTAAATAATAACTTACTATTAAGGATCTAAAAACACACCCAATCTCACTAATGAAACAAAAAAATGAAAATTCAAACAATGAGATATTTTTACTTTTTAGGTGAGCAAAGATAAAGTTGTAGGGCGGGTATGGGGGCAGTCACATTCACACAGCTTTAGTGTGACTGCGAATTGGGACAATCCTTCTGGGAATCAAAACCCATCATCTCTTTTGTCTGTTTTAGGTTCCATGCCCTTTGTTGGATGGTTAGGGCATGTAACCTAAAACGAAGGAGATGATGTTCCAGTTCTACAAACGTGTCATAAGGAAATAATGCAACAAATGTGCAAGGGCATAGGTAAGAGGATCTTCACTGCAATTTTTTTTAGGTGAATTTCACACAATAGAAAATTAAGTTTTACCCAATGCAAAGAAAAGATAAGTGTTTGAGGTGATGGAAGTTCAACTTTTATATATCAATTAAAACATAAAAAAGTAAATTAACAATTTTGAAGTGAACAATTCAGTGGCATTTGGTACATTCACAATGTTGTGTAATCACCAGTGCTGTTTCCAAAACATTTTTATTACTCCAAAACAAAACCTGTAGCCTTTAAACAGTTACTCCCAATTTCCCCCTCTGCCCGGGTGCTGGTAACAACCAATGTGCTCTCTGTCTTTATAAATTTGTTTATTCTGAGGGTTTCATGTAAATAGAACCATACAATATGTGACCTTTTATGTCTGGCTTCTTTCACTTAGCGTAATGTTTCTGAGTGCTGTATCAAGTATCAGTGCTTCATTCCTTTTTAAGACTGAATAATATCCCCTTGTATGCATATGTCACTATTGGTTTATCCGTTCATCCATTCATGGGCATTTATTTGGATATTGTGGCATTTATTTCACTACCTTTGGCTATTGTGAATAGTGCTGGGATGAACATTCATATACAAATACAAATGTTTCACTTGCTGAGCAGCCACCAAACTGTTTCCCACTGCAGCTATACCATTTTACATTTCCACACCAATGCACAAGGATTCTAGTTTTTGTACATCCTCATCAACACTTGTTATTTTCTGTCTTTGATTACAGCAATCCAAATAGGTATAAACTGACAAATGGTTGTGGTTTCGATTTGCAGTTCCCAAACGACTAATGATGCTGAGCATCTTTTTGTGAGCTTGTTGGTCATTTGTATATCTTCTTTGCAGAAATGTCTTGTTATGTTCTTTGCCTTTTGTTTGAGACAGGGTCTTACTCTGATGCCCAGGTTGGAGTGCAGTGGCGTGATCATAGCTCAGTATAGCCTTGACCTCCTAGGCTCAAGTGATCCTCCTGGCTCAGCCTCCTGAGTAGCTGGGACTACAGGTGCAGGTAACCAAGCCTGGCTAATTTTTTCATTTTTTGTAGAGAAAGGGTCTGGCTATGTTGACCAGGCTGATCTTGAAATCCTGGGCTGAAGGGATCCTCCCACCTTGGCCTCCTGAAGTGCTGGCCTCTTTCGCTTTCTTGATAATGTTCTCTGCAGCAAAAAAGTTTTTAACTTTGATGAAGTCTAATTTATCTATTTACTTTTTTTTTTTTTTTTTTTTTGAGACAGAGTCGCACTCTGCTGCCCACGCTGGAGTGCAGTGGCATGATCTTGGCTCACTGCAACCTCTGCCTCCCAGGTTCAAGCCATTCTCCTGCCTCAGTCTCCCGAGTAGCTGGGATTACAAGTGTGGACCACCATGCCCGGCGAATTTTTTAGGTTGACCAGCCTGGTCTCGAACTCCTGAATTCAGGTGATCCACCTCAACCTTCCAAAGTGCTGGGATTACAGGTGTGAGCTACCACGCCTGGCAGTCTAATTTATCTATTTCTCCTTTTGTTGCTTGTGCTTTTGGTGTCATAGCTAAGAATCCATTGCTGAATCCAAGGTCACAATTTATCCCCATGTTTTCTTCTAAGCATTTTATAGTTTTATCTCGTACACTTAGGTCTTTGATCCCCTTTGAACTCATTTTTGTGTATAGTATGAGATAGAGTTTCAACTTCATTCTTTTGCATGTTGAAATCCAATTGTCTCAGCACCATTTGTTGAAGAGGCTGCTTTTTCCCCATTTAACTGACTTGACATCTCTGTCCAAAATCAATTGGCCATAGATATATTTCTGGACTTTCAATTCTGTTCCATTGTACCTATATGTCTGTACTTATGCCAGTAACACACTGTTTTGATTACTATAGCTTTGTGGTAGGTTTTGAAATTGGGACTCATGAGTCCTCCAACGTTGTTCTTTTTTGAGATATTTTTGCTATTTGGGGTCTCTTGATACTCCATACGAATTTCAGGATGGATTTTTCTGTGTCTGCAAAAAAGTCTTTGGGATTTTCATAGGAATTGCATTCAATCTGTAGATCGCTTTGAGTAGTATTGACATCATACAATATTAAGTCTTCCAATCTATGAACACAGATGTTTTTCATTTATCTGTGTCTTCTTTAATTTCTCTCAGCAACATTTTATAGTTTTCAGTGTACAAGTTTTTTGCCTCCTTGGCTAAGTTTATTCCTAAACATTTTATTCTTTTGGATGTTACTGTAAATAGAATTGTTTTCTTAATTTCCTTTTCGGATTATTCATTATTGATGTATAGAAACACAACTGATTTTTGTTTGTTAACCTTGTACCCAGCTACTTTGCTGAATTCATTTATTAGCTCTAGTGGTTGTTGTTGTTGTGCAGTGTTTTTATTTGTAAGGAAAATTGAGAAAATTCTGAATGTTGAGCAATAGGGGACAGGTTAAACAAGTTTTGAAGCATCCATATAATAGGACCATTTAAAGCATCAGATGTGCCTTACTTTTTGGTATGTCTGGTATATATCATCATGGAAGATGAATAAAGTAGTTGTTTCTACATTGATATGGAAAGCTGTCCATGGCATATAATTAAGTGAAAGAAAAATCAGGTTCCAGAACAGTTTCATTTCATTTACAAAAAAGTCAAATTGTCATATATGCATAATGTTAGCTACATTGAGACAAGGATCATTACATAGATGTAATCCTAGTGCCTGGCATGCTACATGGCACATAGTAAGTGCTCAATAATATTTATGGACCAAATGAAAAAAAGTCTGGAAAGAAAAACACTAAATTGCTAATAGTGGTTATCACTGAAGTATAGGGATATGAGGAAACCATTTTCTGTATTGAAAGTTTTTACCTGAAGCATATATTGGGGGAAAATATTTCCATTACACACACACACACACACACACACACACACACACACACAAACACACACACACACACACAAACACACACACACACACACATTCTCTTACCAAGTGAGTGGTGAGGAGAAAGGCACTGTGGGCCAAAGGAGGAAGGTGCCAGGAGGCCATCTGAGGTAAAAAGAGGCTTCTCAGAAGCAGCCACTTCGGAGCTGAGCCTTACCAGGCTTCTTATTTTATTTTTTATTTTTTTGTCCACACAGTAGCCAGAGCAAGCTTTTTAGAGTGCAAATCTGATCCGATCACTCCCTGTCTTAAAACTCGGATGGCTTCTTTACCTGCAGGCACAAGCCTAGGCTTCCCCACGTGGAAGAGGAAGCCCTTTGTGATCTGGTCCCTGCTATCTTTACTTGCTGCAACTCACCAATATAGATTTTAATGTTTTATTAGGAAAACTGGAAACCACAAAACCAGAGAGACTATATAATCAACTCCCATATATTCATTCAATCCACTTTAACAGTGATCAACATTTTCAAATTTTGTTTTACCCATCTCCCCCTCCCTCCCCCCCTTCCATATACATTTTCCTCCTCTGGAGTATTTTAAAATAAATGTAGAAACAGTTCACCTTTAAATATGTTTCTTTATATTTCTAAAAGATGAGGATATGAAATATATATGTATGTAACCACTGTGGTGTTATTGTACTTAACTAAATTATCAATAATTTCTTTTTTTTTTTTTTTTTTTTTTTTGAGACGGAGTTTCGCTCTCGTTGCCCAGGCTGGAGTGCAATGGCGCGATCTCGGCTCACCGCAACCTCCGCCTCCTGGGTTCAGGCAATTCTCCTGCCTCAGCCTCCTGAGTAGCTGGGATTACAGGCATGCGCCACTATGCCCAGCTGATTTTTTGTATTTTTTTTTTTAGTAGAGACGGGGTTTCACCATGTTGACCAGGATGGTCTCGATCTCTTGACCTCGTGATCCACCCGCCTCGGCCTCCCAAAGTGCTGGGATTACAGGCGTGAGCCACAGCGCCCGGCCTTATCAATAATTTCTTAACATAACCTGGTCCATGTCCAATGTTCCCTCATTGTCTTAATAACATCTTTTTACACTTGGTTTGCTTGGATACTGTCAAATATCCTGTGTTTAAGCAACACCAAGCTGCTTATTGCTTCCCTAAATTTCCTGTGCTTTCTTACCTTCTTGTATTCCAGTCCCTTTGCTGGGAATGCCTCCTCCCACTCCTGGCCCAAGATTTGGCTTGAGTGTCACCGCCTGCATGAAGCCTTCATGGTTGCCCCAGTCTAGATTGCCTGTCTCATCCTCTGTGCTAGTAATACCCAGAATAAGCCATTGCTTTGTCTTATTGCATGGTTCTACCATTCCCTAAGTATGTATTATGAGAGAGAAACGGGAGAGAGAGAGAGAAAATGATAAATGATAGATGGTATCTGGGGATTGTCAGGGCAAGGTAGCTACTTTAGATGGGGTAGGGTGATTACAGTATTATTATTATTACTTATTTATTTATTTATTTTGAGATAGAGTCTCTCTCCCATTGTGCAGGCTGGAGTGCAGTGGTGCGATCTCGGCTCACTGCAACCTCCAGCTCCCAGGTTCAAGCGATTCTCCTTCCTCAGCCTCCCAAGTAGCTGGGATTACAGGTGTGTGCCACCATGCCCGGCTAAGTTTTCTATTTTTAACGGAGACGGTTCTGCCATGTTGGCCAGGCTGGTCTTGAACTCCTGACCTCAAGTGATCTACTCGCCTTGGCCTTCCAAAGTGCCAGGATTACAGGCATGAGCCACTGTGCCTGGCTTTTTAAAAAATGCTTGAGACAGAGTCTCACTCTGTCACCCAGGCTGGAGTGCAGTGGCATGATCCTGTTTCACTGTTATCTCCATCTCCTGGGTTCAAGTGATTCTCCTGCCTCAGCCTCCCAAGTAGCTGGGATTACAGGCATGTGCCACCATGCCTGGGTAATTTTTTTTTATTGTTGTTATTTTTAATAGAGATGGGGTTCTGCCATGTTGGCCAGGCTGGTCTCAAAGTCCTGACCTTAGGTGGTCTGCCAACATCAGCCCAAAGTGCTGTGATTACAGGTGTGAACCACCATGCTTGGCCATATTATTACTATTTTTTGAGACAGGGTCTCACTCCGTTGCCCAGGCTGGAGTCCAATGCTGCAATCACGGCTGACTGCAGCCCTGACCTCCAGGGCTCAAGCCATCCTCCTGCCTCAGCCTCCTGAGTAGTTGGCACTATAGGCACATGCCACCATGCCCAGCTAATTTTTATATTTTAGTAGAGATGGGGTTTTGCCATGTTGGCTAGGCTGGTATGGGACTCATGGGCTCAAGCAGTCCTCCTACCTCAGCCTCTCAGAGTGCTGGGATTACTGGTGTGAGGCTGTGGGCCTGGCCTTAGGGTATTTAATTGAGTCTGAATGAGGAGAAGAAGCCAGTCTAGGGAAGATTGGGGCATTCCAAGCAGGACTAGTGTTGGAAACAGATGAACAGTGCCGAAAAGAAAAATTAGCACTGAGGCCAGGCATGGTGGTTCACACCTGTAATCCCAGCACTTTGGGAGGCTGAGGTGGGAGGATCACGAGGTCAGGAGTTCGAGACCAGCCTGGCCAACATGGTGAAACCCTGTCTCTACTAAAAATATAAAAATTAGCCGAAGGTGGTGATGGGAGCCTGTAATCCCAGCTACTTGGGAGGCTAAGGCAGGAGAATCACTTGTACCTGGGAGGTGGAGGTTGCAGTGAGCTGAGACTGCCCCCCCCAAAAAAAAAATCAAATAAAGAAAAGTTAGCACTGAGACAAAGAATCTCTCAGCAAAGCAATTTTTTTTTACTTTTTTTTACTTCCTGCACTGCAGGAAGTGTACCCTTGCTAGCCATCTTGTCACAAGAGTACAATGAACAAAGGAAAAGCAGACATATTTATCCCTTATGCATTTGGACTTGTCCTTACTGCTGTGTCTGACCTCTGTTGGTTGGAGCCAGACCTCATAATCTAAACTAAAACCCAATTGGCTAATAACTTAAAACTTTTTTAAACCGGTAAGGCGCATAGGCTACGAGCTGGGACATGCCTGTGAGCACGTCCAGCACAGATATTTGGTTAAAGTACAAGGACATAGAATGTACTACGTGTCTATAAGCATGTTTAATAGCTGCATAGGATAGGGCTTAACAAAGAGTTATTAGCACACTTATGATTTATTTTTTAACAAGAAACGAAACTTTGAAGCGAAACCTTTGCTTCTCACAACTAGCATGTGCATAGACCATGAGGTGAGAGGACCCTGTCTTAGACAGCTCTATTTATGTCTGTCTTTACCTCTACCTCTGTAGATCTCATCCTTTTTGTAATCACAAAACTCCTTTGAGTGTTGACAGTCTGATAATAGCTATGGCTCTGTGCTGCCGAAAAATGTACATATGTGCAGTCACACAAATTTGCATACCATTTCCCTAATTCCTGAAGCCAGGGAACTTTGGAAAGTTTCCCTACCCAGAGTGTGTTCACATTTAGGGCAAGAATAGTGTAACATGTAACATATGTAATAGTGTAACATGTAACATGTGCTCCACTATGTGTTTTTCTGCATTATCTCTTTTATCCCTCACACACCCCCGCCCCCCCCACCCCCCCACTTCCCACCAACCATGAGGTAGGTACAGGTAAGTGTTGCCATTTGACGGACAAGCAGACAAGGAGACTAAGGCTCAGAGAGAGGGAGTTACTTGGCCAAGGTCACACAGCTAGTAAGTGAGATAGGGAGAGGCTTAAACCCAGGCAGTCTGAGGCTGAAGTGCGTATGTTGCATGCCGTGGCACTACTGGTCAACTTTGGGCCCAGCACTGGGCAGGAGGTATGGGGACTTGCCTCTAGCAAATGCAGGGAAGGAAGCGCTGCAGGAACTTCCTGTATAGGGACGGGCTTAGAGATGTCAAAACACCGTTGTCCACATGACTGTTTTCTTTCCTTCTGCTTTTCTCTTCCTCCTTCTTTTCCTTCTTTTCTTCCTTTTCTTCCTTTTTTTGTTGAATGACAGTATTCAATTTTCTTATAAAGAAGTCTTTCTGCCTTAGGAAGAGTTTTTTAAATATAGTATTGGAAATATACTACTGCTGTCTCTGTGACAGCTCACAGTGAATGCAGCAGAGGCAGATCCACCCTCCCCAAAGGTAAACTGGCTTGGGAATTTTCCATTGACTTTTAAAAAAATTTATGTATTTACTTTTTGGGGACCAGGTAATACATTCACATGGTTAAAAATCAAAAGGTACAAAAAGGAACTGAGTGCAATTCGCCCTTACTACTTCGCCACTTGCCACCTGGTTCCCTTGCCTGGAGGCAACTGAGGTGTCCCAGTTTCTTGTGTATTTTCCAAAAGGTGTTTTATGCAAATATATGCATATCCAATATAGATATTCTTTTTAAGTGGTTATTTTGTTACTCTCCCTTGAGTTGGAGATATAGTCTAAGCTTCTCTCTTGGTCTCTTTGGCCCTTGTAAGTGCCTTGGAGACAGAGGAAGCTGGTGGGTTTCCTGCAAGCAATGGGTTTTCTTCAGAGGTAAGGCTTTCCTGGCCCATTTCCATGGCAGGCCCTCCTGTCCAGAATACACTCTTTTCAAAGTGTTTCTATCTTTGGTAATTCATCAACCACTCACGATAGCCCATGAGGTTCAAGGATAATTCACCCTATTTTATGGGTAGGGAAACAGACCCAGAAAGCTCAAGTAACTTGATGAAAAGCACACAACAGATGAATGCTGCTGTGTGGTGAGGGCCCAGGAGCAGCATGTGACTTGGTCCAGCTTGGGCTTTGGAAGCAATAAGAAAGTTGTTTACTTCAAAGTCACAGTTTAAAAATAGTGGCACGGCCGGGCGCGGTGGCTCAAGCCTGTAATCCCAGCACTTTGGGAGGCCGAGGCGGGTGGATCACAAGGTCAAGAGATCGAGACCATCCTGGTCAACATGGTGGAACCCCGTCTCTACTAAAACTACAAAAAATTAGCTGGGCATGGTGGCGCGTGTCTGTAATCCCAGCTACTCAGGAGGCTGAGGCAGGAGAATTGCCTGAACCCAGGAGGCGGAAGTTGCGGTGAGCCGAGATCGCGCCATTGCACTCCAGCCCGGGGAAAAAAAGCGAAAACCCCCCTCCAAAAAAAAAAAAAAAAAAAAAAATAGTGGCACTAGTGGCACTAGTGTGGGACAGTGGAAAAAGTAAGGGAATTTGCAGTGCCAGCTGGGTTTTGCTTCCTGGCTCTGCCACTGAAAAAAGGGCAAGTTACTTCATCACTCTTAGCCTCAATTTTCTAATCTATAGAGTGGGAATGATAATACTCACCAGCAGGGTGGATAGTGATGTTCAAGTGAAAATGATCTGTAAAATGGGGCATGTGCCAATGTCCAATGCTTGCTTTGCCATTGTTATTATAGTTATTGTGGCTAGCCCCTTGCAAACACAAGGGGTGGGCGGTGGCAGGGTCTGCAGCAATTTCCCAAAGGGAAGACATGTAGGCTCACGGTGAGCACTCCCTGCCCTCGAGCCAACTAATTTAAAAAGGCCCCCTCCCCCACATTGCCCATGTCCGCCACTGCCTCAGCTGATCAGTCTTGCGGGCAATAGAACAGCCCCAGGGCCTGAGCACAAAGTCTTCCTCAGTGGGTGTCTTGAACTGACTTTGATCTGTAACCATCCTCCAACTTCCTGCGGATCAATTTTTTTTTTTTTAAGTTTATGTATTTATTTTTTTTTCTATTATTAAAGTAAAATGTGGTCACTAGAGAAAATTTGGAAAATATTTAAAAGTAGAAAGAAGAAAAATAAAACCATCCTTATACCTTCCTCCTCCACAAAAGCCCACTTCAGTTAATGTTTTGGTATATTTCCCTTCCGTCTTTTTTCCCTCTACGTGCTTGCAATAATTCTGGGAGGAACAACTTTTAATCTGTGTTTCTGGTTTTGTGGATGCCATGCTTACCTTTGGGGGTATTTCAATGTTAATTTTGAAATATTGAAAATAATTTCTACTTTCATCTCTGGGATTTCTTTCCCCTAGCATTTCCAATAAGAATCCAATGGGAAGAAATCTTGAACGCGGTTGAGGCGGTGCCCTCTCTTGGGAGCAGGACAAGCCTCTGGAAGGCCTGGAGTGGGTCGTCAGTTCAGCAGCCTGCTCTGGTACTTGTATGGCCAGAGCTGAGGCAAGAGCTGGGGCTCAGACAGGTAGTGCCACCCTGATGAGGAGAGGCAGTGTGGGCTGCCCAGTGGTGAGAGCTCCCCTGGCCTCCTTTGCCACTTTCCCCCACGGGGTAGCATATCTTCACAGATGTGGCCATTGAAAGGAAAATGGGACACCAGTTTGCTATCACTGTTTACCTGTTGGCTGCTTCTCAGGGTTGAGGTCTTTATAGGGATTTGAGTGACAACTTTGGGGATGGGTCCCCCTGAGAGGACTGGGATAGGGGACTGGAAACCAGGTTAAACGAGCCTTTGAGATGGCAAGCCTTGCTCTGTGAGTGGTCTTGCAGGCTGATGGTTCCAGAGCTCCTGTTTGCCTGCTTCCCTGGCCTTCCCTAATCCTGAACTGCCCCATTTGGCTCCTCTTCCACCCTCTTTTATTCTTTAAAAAAATCTCCCCTTCTTTTTAGTATAAGTAAAATTGTTGTCATTTCTGGCTTACACTTCCCTTAAGCCAAGAGGGTGAGAGGGTATAATTAGAATTAGACTAGGAATACCATTTGAAGGGACTGGTATTCCTAGCCCACTAGGCGCCTTGATGCTGTTTAATAAAAGCTTGGCTATTCCCATCCCAGGACATGTTCAAGGCTTTTTCCACTCCCTTCTGCGGAATGCCCTTCCCCCGCTTGGAGGCCTGGGGAAATACAGCTCACCCTATGAGGTGCGACTCAAATATCATCCTCTTAGAGACTCTCTGGGATGCCTCTCTGGCAGGGCGAGCTGCTCCCTGTTTAGTGCTCCCACAGCTCTGGGTTCATGTTGGTAACAGAGCTGGAAACATGTTGGGGTCTGCTTCTTTTCCTCCTCCCTTGTCTTGTCTGAGAATTCCTAGACAGCCAGAATGGACGGGGCTGTGTTCTTGTCTCCCATCCCAGTCCCAGTAGTTGAAGGAGATTTGTAAATATTTGGTAACTAAAATTACAGTATCATGACATTCAGTTGTCCCTTCCTCTTCTCTCTCATTATCCCCATCCCCATTTTTCCATGTTGCTATTTCCCCAGAGGTTGCAGTAATATCACACATTACAACTCCCTCCCCTTTTCATTATGTGCCAATTGTCTACACTTGACTGTGAAGTATCCTTTCTATCTATGGAAGTGCTCCTCTCGGATTTGACATGCCAAAACGCCCTTTCCATCCCTAAATCATTCATTGGACAGGGACAGCTCCTCACCAGGGTGCCAATAAGCCCCTCTCCATGACTGCAGTGCCAGTATTCCTACTCCACCATGGACAGCCCCAGCACAGGCCAGAGCTTGGCCTTTTGTCCCAAGAACTTGGGCTAGGAGCACACTAGTTCCCCAGTGGGGTTAGCCTCCCAGGCTGGGCCAGAGTAGAGATTGGAAGGAACAGGGTTATTCTTGACACTTCAGCGAGAAGAAAAGTTCAGAACTATGTGCACTGTCAGTGGCACTTTACAATGAAGACAATGGGACAAAGAGGTAGGTTTTCAAAGATTTTATTAAAAAAACAAAGATACATAACACTAAAATGACACCAGTGGACTTCTCCTCACCTCCCAGTCTGCTGATCAGTACCCCCCTCCCAGGGCTCTACCTGGATGGTCCTGAGGCCCAAACCCTGCCTTTCAGCAGCCTCATGCTTCACAAACTGGTGACAAAAGCTCCCTGCTCGCATCCAGCTTCTAGTCTGTTTCCTTTAAGACAATAAAAATACTCCCCTCCCCAATTCGCTTAAAAATAATCTTCAAAGATTAAAAACTGCATTGTGTGTGTGTGTGTGTGTGTGTGTGTGTGTGTGTGTGTGTGTGTGTGTGTTTAAATAAGAACTCTAAATGTGGGATATCTCTCTCTTCCCCTAGGCCCAGTTGAGGACTCTGGGGTGCCTGTCTCCTCACCCCAGGAAGCCAGTTGCCACTTGGTGCCCCTTGGAAATTTTCAGGAAGTAATTTCTTTAAAATTTCCCCTGCAGTCACAAATTCCACAAGCTGCTCGCATAAACAGGCTGTCTTCATTATAGGCACCACTCCTCAGCTCTGGAAACCTGATCTCTTTCTGTCAACTAGACCACATGCTTCAGATTCCCTGCAAACAGAGAAAACAAAACTCAAAATCAGGTAATGTATGTGAATTACACCCCAATAGAGCTATTTTTTTAAAAAGCACTTATATTTTGGGGCTTGTTTTCTGCTGCTCCTGAGAACTCTGTGACCCCACCATAAGGAACAAGACCAGACTAGCTTGCTGGATGATGAGAAACAAATGGCCCAGAGACCCCTGTCACCCAAGCAACCACCAGCCAACTACTGGACATGTGATTGAGGCTTTTGACAGCCAGCTGACTGCAGATGCTGGGTGAATCCAGCCAAGACCAGAAGAGCCACCCAGCTGAACTCAGCTCAATTGCCAATCCACAGAGTCATGAGCTAAACAAATGGTTGTTTTAAGTCACACACACAAACACACATACACTCTCTCTCTCTCTCTCACTCTCAGGTAACACTTTTCAGAGTTCATACTTTACTAACTGCATCAAATCACAGGCCTCCCCACTCCCAACTTTTCTTCCTTCCCTTAGCAAGGCAAAACCCTCCTTGCATTTTCTCTTGTGAGTACCTGTGAAACATGGATTGGGGGCTTTTCTCTGATCTCAGGCCTAAGAATCTTTGAGGGAAAAGTGATCATTTGAAATCCTATAAGACTGGGCTCTAGGAATGAAAAGTTGCTCACTTGGTCCCTCGGTAGTCTTTTCCTTGCCCCACTTCCCCAAGTAGAAAAATTGAGCTCCAAACCCTACTGGCCATTTCTCTGAAACAGAAACAATGCTCCCTGAGGGCAGGGCCTGGCTGTCTTACTTTTGGTTGATCTCCACAGTCTGGCACAGTGCCTCACTCATAGTAGGTGCTCAGTAAATGGCTGAGCGAATGGATGAATGAAAGTAAGGAAGGAAGGAAATAAGAAACAATTCAGAAACAAATTACTTGCCTATCTACTTTAATTTTAATTTTAAATTAATCTACAGTAAAATTAACATTTGTGCATGTGCAGATCTGATTTTAAACATATGTATAGATTCATGACAGAGAGGGGTTCCATAACCCCCAAAATCCTCTTGTGCTATCCTTTTGCAATCACATCTTCCTTTCTCCCCACCACCTGGCAACCACTGATCTATTCTCCATCATTGTAGTGTTGTCTTTTTGAGAATGCCATATAAATGGAATCAGTCTGTAACCTTTTAAGATAGGCTTTTTTAAAACTCAGCATAATGCCTTTGAGGTTCATGCAAATTTGTGCATGTATCAATAGAAGTTCATTCCTTTTTCGTACTTACCTTTTACTTTTAAAATAATTATAAATTAACAGGAAGTTGCCAAAAAAAAAAAAAAAAAAAAAAAAGGAGTACAGAGAGGTCCCACACACCCTTTTCCAGGTTTCCCCACATGTTAACATCTTACATAACTATGGTTCAATATCAAAACCAGGAAATTGACATTGGTGCAATTCACAGATCTTATTAAGATGTCACTAATTTTACATGCACTCATTTGTGTGTGTATAAGTGTATAATTCTAGGCCATTTAATCACAAGTGTAGATTCATGCAACCTCAATCACAATCAAGATAGGAAACTATTTTATCACCATAAAGATTTCCCTCCTGCTACCTCCTTTACAGTGACTCCCATCCCTCCATCCTGACCATCCCCAAGTCCTGACAATCATTCATCTGTTACCTTTCTCTAAAATTTGGTCATTTTGAAAATGTTACATAAATGGAACCATGCAATATATAAACTTTCGAGACAGATAGGCTTTTTTCACTCAGCATACTGCTCTTAGGATCCATCCAAATTGTGGTGTGTATCAAGTTTGTTGCTTCTTATTGCTGAGCAGTATTTCACAGTACGGATGTAGCACAATCTGTTTAACTAGTTATCTGCTGAAGGACGCCTGAGTCATTTCCAGTTTTTGGCTATAGGATCAAAGCCACTATGAACATTCACATACATGTTTTTGTGTAAACATAGTTTTCATTTTTCTGGGACAAATGCCCAAGAGTGTAATTGCTGGGAGGTATGACAGTAGCATGTTTAGCTTTATAAGAAATCGCCAAACTTTTCCAGACTGGTGGTACCATTTTATATTCCCACCAGCAATGCTTGAGTCATCTAGTTTCTCAGCGTCCTTGCCACATTTGCTGTTGGTTTTTATTTTGTCCACTCTGATAGATGTATAGTGATATCACATTATGATCTAAATTTGCATTTTCCCAATGGCTAATGATGCTGAACATCTTTTCACGTGTTCATTTGCTGCCTGTGTATCCTTCTCATGTCTTTTGCCTACTTCCTAATTGTTTTTTTTTTTTTTTCTATTGAGTTTGGAAAGTTCTTTATGTATTTTATTTTTATTTTTTGAGACAGAGTCTTACTCTGTCACCCAGGCTGTAGTGCAGTGGTGCGATCTCAGCTCATGCAAACTCTGCCTTCCGGGTTCAAGCGATTCTCCTACCTCAGGCTGGGATTACAGGTGCATGCCACCATGCTTGACTGATTTTTGTATTTTTAGTAGAGACGGGGTCTTACCACATTGGCCAAACTGGTCTTGAACTCCTGACCTCAAATGATCCACCTGTCTCAGCCTCCCAAAGTGCTAAGATTACAGGCATGAACCACTGTACCCAGCTCTTTATATATTTTAGATACAAATCCATTGTTGCATATGATTTGTGATTATCTTATCTTAGTATGTAACTTATCTTTTAATTTCCTTAAGAGGGTCTTTTGTAAAACAAAAGCTGATTTTGATGAGGTCCAATTCTTTATCAACTTTTTTTCTTTTTTTGGATCATGCTTTTGGTGTTTCAAACCCCTAACCTCAAAATCTCTGGATAATCTTTGATTCTTCACCTCTTAGTTCATGCCTTCTCCACATCTTATGAGTTGCGAAGCCTAACCTCAAGATGTCTCTCCAATCTGAACCTTCTTTCTGTTCCACTGTTTCTGCTTTAGTCACATCGCTTGTTACTCAGGTCACAGCGACAGCCTCTTATCTGGGCCTCCTGCTTCTAGAGGTATTCCCCACACAGTTGCTAGCTATGATCACATTTCTTCTCTGCTCAAAAAGACTTTAGCTGGCCAAGCATGGTGGCTCACGCCTGTAATCCTAGAACTTTGGGAGGCCAAGGTGGGTGGATCACCTGAGGTCAGGAGTTCGAGATCAGCCTGGCCAACATGGTGAAACCTCATCTCTACTAAAAATACAAAAAAATTAGCAGGGTGTGGTGGTGGGCACCTGTAATTCTAGCTACTCGGGAGGCTAAGGCAGGAGAATCGCTTTAACCTGGGAGGCAGAGTTTGCAGTGAGCCAAGATTGTGCCATTGCACTCCAGCCTGGGTGACAGAGCAAAACAAACAAACAAACAAACAAAAAAACCCCCAAAAAACTTTAGCAGTTCTTGACCTACCACCTATGAATGAAGTTCAACTCCTTAGCATAAATGGGCCCCATCCATTCTTTCCTGTTTCCACGCCTTAGCTTGTATTGTTGCCTCAGCTGAGGACAACCTACAGGGGATGCTGGTGTGAAGTGAGGGTCCTTCCATCTGTAAATATAGCCAGAGCTAGAGGGATGAGTGAATGCAAGGAAACAAAATTCCATGTCGAAGCATTCCAACAACACATGTTCACAGGGAGGAAAAGTGGGTGCTGTATTCTCTGCTGCTCTGCCTCACTCTCCAGTTACATTTGGAGGCAATTAAGAAAAACAACAGAAGTAATTTTCACCAAAAGTTGATGATGACCAATGTTGAATTGGAGTAATAATAAAAATGCAAGCTTAAATAATACCCATTGTTTTCACCTCACATCTAGCTTTTCCAGCAGTGGGTGGCAGCCTGAGAAAATTCTTAAAAAAATTTTTTTTAAATTATACTTTAAGTTCTGGGATACATGTGCAGAATGTGCAGGTTTGTTACATAGGTATAAACGTGTCATGGTGGTTTGCTGCACCCATCAACCTGTCATCTACATTAGGTATTTCTCTTAATGCTATCCCTCTCCTAGCCCTGCACCCCCCAACAGGCCCTGGTGTGTGATGTTCCCCTCCCTGTGTCCATGTGTCCTCATTGTTCAGCTCCCACTTATAAGTGAGAACATGCGGTGTTTGGTTTTCTGTTCCTCTGTTAGTTTGCTAAGAATGATAGTTTCCAGGTTCATCCATGTCCCTGCGAAGGACATGAACTTACTCTTTTTTATGGCTGCATAGTATTCCATGGTGTATATGTGCTACATTTTCTTTATCCAGTCTATCATTGATGGGCATTTGAGTTGGCTCCAAGCTGATAAGCAACTTCAGCAAAGTCTCAGGATAGAAAAATCGATGTACAAAAATCACAAGCATTCCTATACACCAGTAATAGACAAACAGAAAGCCAAATCATGAGTGAACTCCCATCCACAATTGCTACAAAGAGAATAAAATACCTACGAATACAACTTACAGGGCATGTGAAGGACCTCTTCAAGGACAGCTATGAACCACTGCCCAAGGAAATAAGAGAAGATGCAAACAAATGGAAAACCAGTCTGAGAAAATTCAAAAGGCCAGCACAGGCTGGGGCCTAAGGAGACAAGAAGTTCAGACCACAGAGGGCAGACTCAATTGCCTAGAGAGGTCAAGAGTATACTGTTTGTAAAGCAGGCTGGAGGTAAGACATAAGGGGCCCTCTTGATTCTTTTATCATTTTCTTACTTTGAATCATGACATAAGTATAAGAAATACTTTGCTTTTTTTCCTTTTTTTGAGACAGAGTCTCGCTGTGTCACCCAGGCTGGAGTGCAATGGCGTGATCTTGGCTCACTGCAACCTCCACCTCCCGGGTTCAAGCAATTCTGTGCTTCAGCCTCCTGAGTAGCTGGGATTACAGGCACCCACCAACACGCCTGGCTAATTTTTTTTTGTATTTTTACTAGAGACGGGGTTTCACCATCTTGGCCAGGCTGGTCTTGAACTCCTGACTTCGTAATCCACCTACCTCAACCTCCCAAAGTGCTGGGATTACAGGTGTGAGCCACCACACCTTACTCCTTTTTTCTTAACTCTGTCACAAAAGAAAACAAAACCAAGACAGTGTAAATAGAAACTCACACTTGGCCTAGAGTAAGAGATACAGAAGGGACTGGTGGGGCCTGTGACAAAGAGGAAGGCAAAGTGGGCAGCTGCTGCTCAGCTCCAGCCACTCACTACTGTGCAGGCCTGTGGGCCCCATGAGACTGGGTCTTTCTATTTTCCAAGAGAAGCCCAAATTTCACATTTTAATGTAGTTTCCACTGTGTTAAATGTGGGCAAATGATTGACATTTTAAAAGAATATCATATGAAGCCTCAAGATGAGTGGCCAAACAAAACAATTTTGGAAGTGAGGTGTAGCTTATGGACTCCCAGTTTGTGATTTCTGGTTATCTCTGAAACAGTCTTGATTTATACCTAAGGCACCCCATTTCACTCTCAAATATCCTGGTTTGGACAATAAACTATATTGTTATTCCAGCTTTGATGTACAATAAGGAGTACTGAACTGGGACTCAGGGGTCCTGGGTTCTACTGAACCACTGGTTGACTCATTTGTTCATCCATTTATTCAATAAACATTTATGGAGTGTCTATTCTGTGCCAGGTACTTTGTTAGGTGTTCATGAACAATCTCTTTAGTCTTTATTTTTTTCTCTCTTTTTTCATTTTTTCTCTTTTCCTTGTCATTACCTCCAATAGTCTTTCTTTTTAAAATTAATATATTTTATTTTTAGAACAGTTTCAAGTTTATAGAAAAACTGAAGAGAAAGTACAGAGAGCTCTCATATTCCGTCCCCTTCCCCTACAGGCAGTTTCCCCAATTATTAACATCTTGCATTAACGGGGTACCTTTATTATAGTTAGTGAATGGATACTGATACATTATTATTAACTTAAGTTCACTGTTTACATTGTTTCACTTTTGGTCTTGTACAGTTCTATGAGTTTTGAAAAGTATATAATGTTATATGTCCACCATTACAGTATCATGCAGGAATACTTTCAATGCCCTCAAAATCAACTGTATTCCACTGACTCATCCCTCCCTTCCTTTCCCTGAAGCCTGGCAACCACTCATCCTTTTACTGTCATATAGTTAGAATCATACAGTATGTAGCCTTTTTGGACTGGCTTTTTTCAAGATGCCTTTAAGTTTCCTCCATGTCTTTTTGTGGTTTGATAACTCACTTTTTTCTTGGTGCTGAATAACAGTCCATTGTCTGGATGTACCATGGTTTATCTATTCATCTATTGAAAGACATTTTGGTTGCTTCCAAGTTTTGGAAATTCTGAATAAAGCTGCTATAAATATTTGTGTGCAGGGCTGGGCACAGTGGCTCATGTCTGTAATCCCAGTGATTTGGGAGGCTGAGGTGGGAGGATCAACTGAGGCCAGGAGTTCAAGACTAGTCTGGGCAAAATAATGAGACCCTGTCTCTACAAAATAAAAAAATCAGCTGGGTATGGTGGCACACCCCTATAGTCCCAGCTACTCAAGAGGCTGAGGCAAGAGGATAATTCGAACCTAGGAGGTCAAGGCTGCAGTGAGCTATGATTGTGCTACTGCACTGTGGCCTGTGTGACAGAGTGAAACACTGTCTCTAAAAAAAAAAAGTAAAACAAACAATAGAAAAGACCTCCAAACATTTGTGTGCAGGGTTTTGTGTGAACATGAGTTTTTAATTCATTTGGGTAATTACTAAGGAGTGTGATTGCTAGATTATGTGGTAAGAATAGGTTTACTTTTGTAAGAAACTACCAAAATGCCTTCCCAAGTGACTGCACCACATTGCATTCCTACCAGCAATGAATGAGAGTTCCTGTAGTTCTACATCCTTGACAGCATTTGGTGTTGTCAGTGTCTTGGATTTTAGCCATTCTAATAGATATGTAATGGTATCTCATTTTAATTTGCAATTCCTTAGTGACACATGATATTGGGTATCTTTTCACATATGTCTCTGACTTAAGATGTTTCAACTTTATGATGGTACTAAAGTAATATGCATTTAGTACACTCCTCAACTTATGATGGGGTTACATCTGGATGATCCCATAATAAGTTGAAGATACTTACTGTAAGTCGAAAACATACTTTCAACTTATATTTTCAACTTACAATAGATTTACTGGGATATAACCCCACTGCAATAGGCAGAGGAGCATCTGCACTTGCTTGCTGTCTGTATATCTTCTTTAGTGAGGTGCCTATTAATATATTTTGTCCATTTTAATTTTTTAATATTTAAATAATATTTAAATATTTTAAATTTTTTTGTAGAGATGGGGTCTTGTTATGTGGCCTAAGCTGGTTTTGAACTCCTGGCCTCAAGCAATCCTCCCTCCGAGGCCTTACAAAGTGTTGGGATTACAGGCATGAGCCACCACATCTGGCTCACTTTTGTCCATTTTTTTTTTAATTTAAATGTATTTTTTTTGAGACAAGGTCTTGCTCTGTTGCCCAGGCTGGAATGCAGTGGTGTGATCATAGCTCACTTTAGGCTTGACTTCTTGGGCTCAGGTGATTCTCCCACTTCAACCTCCTGAGCAGCTGGGAGTACAGGCACATGCTACCATGTCTGGCTAATTTTTACATTTTTTTGTGGAGACAGGGTTTCACCATGTTGCCCAGGTTGGTCTCAAACTCCTGGACTCAAGTGGTCTGCCTACCTTGGCCTCCCAAACTGCTGGGATTACAGGAGTGAGCTATTGCACCCAGCCTCTTTGCCCATTTTAAAATTGAGTGTTTTCTTATTGTTGAATTTTAAGAGTTCTTTACTCTTATTCATATCCTTTACTGGAAACGAATTTTGCACATATTTCTCCCAGTCTGTGGTTTGTCTTTTTATTCTCTTCATCTTTTTAATGTGGAGCAGAGTGGTCCAATAGAACTTTCTCACATGATGTTAACATCCTACAGCTCTGCTGCTCAATATGGTAGCCACTAGTCACATGTGGCCATTGAGCACTTGAAATACGTCTAGTGCAAGTGAGGAACATAATTTTATATTTTGTTTAATTTTAATGAACTTAGCCACATGTGGATAGTGGTGAGACTGTACTGAACAGAGCAGACATAGAACAGTCCTCTTGTGCTTTTTTTCTCCCTTCATGAAGTTGACTAGGGGTCATCCTTATTCTTCCTTTGTTTACAACCTGCCTTTTTAATCTATTAGCAAGTCCTGTGGATTCTACCTCCAAAATAGATTGCAAATCTACCTCTTTCTTTCCATCCTTCACTGCTACAACTATACCCCAAACTATTCTTGTCCCTTATATGGATGATTCTAGTAGCCTCAAGACTGGTCTTGCTTCCTTCCTTGTCTCCTACAACCTATTCTCTACATAGGAGCCTGAGTATTTTGTGAATACTTAGGTCAGACCACATCACTCCTATGCTCAAATCCCTCTATCAGCCTCCAATCACACCTAGAATAAAATCTAAGCTACTTACCTGCAGGGGCTGGTCCCTTGCCTCCTGTGTCCTACCACCACCCTCCTTGCTCACATGGGTCTTCATGATCATTTTGCCCTCTTAGGGCTTCTCCTGTCTTTGAACTTGCTCTTCCTTCTGCCTGGAATGCTCTGTCCTGGCTATCCCCATTTCTGACTCTTTTCATCACCTTTGTCACCTTGAGTCGACAGGTCTCAACTCCAAAGTCACTTCTGAGAGACCTTAGGACCACCCAAGCTAAGGAGCCACCCCCTCAGTCACTCCTTTTCCGTTTCACCATCCTGTTTTATTTTCTTCAATCCACTTAGCATGCAGAAAACATCTTGTGTGTTTTGTTTCTTTATTTGCTTGCTGTTGGTTTCCTCTCACCAGCTCTATGAGGGCAGAGACCTTGTCTGCTATCTTGGTCATTACTCTACTGTTAGGGCCCTGAAGCCTAGTAGGTGCTCAGTACTTATTCATGGAAGGAATAGACATCTGTAGCTCTGCTTTCCCATTCACGGAGGCTTAAAGCTTGGTCATTGCTCTTAAGGACCTTATAAATGTGGTTAAGGTGAGCAAACGCTAACAAAAGGAGAACCAGGCTAGGATACATAAGTTCTGAATACAGTCAGTGTCACAGCAGTTTGGAGGGATGCTGGTGTGATCTCAGGAATGCTTGGAGGTTGGGTGGCACTACAGAGGAACAGAGAAATGAATTTAGGACTGTTGAAAAGTGTTTCCAAAACTTCTGTCTTACGAGTACCTCCTTCAGGAATATTTTCACATCTACTTAACAGCTGTATTAATAGTCACCTTGAGTTTTATATATATATATATATATATATATATATATATATATATACACACACACACACACACACATAATTTTATTTTTGGGAGGGCATTAATTCACTTTTAAACCTTCAGGTTGGGCCCACTGGATCATGCCTGTAATCCCAGAACTTTGGGAAGCTGATGTGGGAGGATCCCTTGAGCTCAGCAGTTTGAGAACAGCCTGGGCAACATAGGGAGTCCCCGTCTCTATTAATTTTTAAAAAGAAATTAAAAAAAAATAAGAAGAAAACTTTAATACCCATTTTGGCCTTATCTATCATAAGCAGCAATAACAATAATAATAGATAACATGCTTATTAACATTTTAAAACATACATTAAAATAAATATGACTGTTAAAATTGAAAATGTCTTTGTTACCTCAGATTGTCTCTCATATAGAGGAACATGAGGCACACCTTGAAAAAAATAATTGTAGGCATTGCTCTTGGGCAGCCAGTGTTCAGGCTGCTTTGCTGCTGGGAGGCTCCGGTATCTGAGAATCTTGGATGGTGTGCACCCCTGCCCTCAATCTGGTCCATTTTTCTGTCCATTTATTGCCTGAGCCTTCACCGATGTCTACAATGGCCTAGGCCCTGTGCTGGGTGCTGAGGTCACAGAGAGGATCAAGACAGTTCTTGCTGTCAAGAAGTTCTAAGCCTAGTGAGGAAGACACATATGGAGGCAAACACATTCTAGTCCACAGCAGCAAGGTGATACAATTCCAGTATGTACAGAGTGCTGTGGGCAGAAAAAGAGGGCACAAGAGGCTTCACAGAGCAGGTGACTTATTGAAGGGCAAAGGAGGGAAGAATGTTCTAGGCAGCAGGAAGAGAGCAGGATGTATAAAGCCAACTGCAAAGTTTTTGAGGTCAGGATATAGGGTGAAGGTCTGGGAGGGGGGCAATGCAGCTGGAGAGGTGGCTAGAGGCCATATCAAGTCCAGGGCCTTATCTGAGAGGTCATGGCGAGCCTCTGAGAGATTGTCAGGAGGGCAAGGGATCTGGTAGGCTACAGGGCTAGAGCAAGATTTCCAGCTGCTGCCCTATCATGGCCAGGTTCAAGGACCTCATTTTCTACCTAGGAATAATTGCAGTACAAAGGGTTCCTATGAAGCTTTGGGCATGTGCTGATATGGATGGTTGGTTTAATTTTTAGCTGTTAATTGTCAACTGCATTGCTTGCCTTGGAATGTCGATCCCTCCTGTCATCAGAGAGCCTTTTATTGACAAGTAAGTAAAACTGCCAATTACCATTTGTCTGCCTCTGACCTGAATTAGAACCTGAGGTTGTGGATTAATCCCACTAGGCTTCTGACATTTACAGGATATCAGCACTTAGAGGATATTACCCTGATGGTTAGTGTGCTCTGGTCTTAGCTCTCAAGGCACTACTGCAGTCTCAAACTGAATCGAAGCAATTTCTAAAATAGCCTATGATTCATTTTTTCTTCCCTCCTGTGCCTAAATCTGCTGGCTTCATGTGGAGGGATGGGCACAAGTAACTGTGGGGTGACATCACAGGAGTGGGCTGCTTGCCTGACAGCCAGCTTGTGGAGCTGGGCCCCGGCAGTTGTCTATCTGCTGGGTTGGGCAATGCCTCCCAGCAGTTTTGGAGACACAGCTCCGAGGTTCTTTGGTCAATGTGCCTTCTCCACATTTCTTTTTCAGACAAAAATTCTGGGCTGGGAAATCCAGGATAATGGGAATAGCAGTGGTAGGAGGAATAATACCGCCTTACATCTGTATAATACTTTAGAGTTTGAAAGCTATTTGCTCTATTTTGCCCCACCCAAACACCAGTGGGAAATGGAAGCTGGGATTTTCGACTTGAACTGGATACTTACTCTCGCTGGCTTGCAAAAAATCCCTAAATGCTAACATCCCCTATTCACCTCAAGGCATATCATGATTAGGCCTTGGACGCCACCAGAAGGTCAGAGAGGCTCCCTTTAGTTTATAGGTGCTTCCTGGAAGATAAATTCTCCAGGACAAATTGCCTGGCAGGCACAATCCATTAACTATGCCATCCTGATTGAGCCAGCAAGTAATGCCAGTCTCAGCACTGCCAACTCCTTCTGCACACCCTGGTTTACGGTCCCAATGGCCCCAAAGACCTTTACTGTAGCCAAAGGCACAGTTGCTAACTGTGGAGCCCTGAAGGTAGGGTGTGTCACAAACATCTGGAAGTGCCAACAGCTGCCAGAGAGCTCAAGGGCCTGTGAAAGGAAAACCCACAATTCAAGTCACATCAGCCATCACTGTGGCTCCTGAAGTGAAGGGTCACTGAGCCCAGCAGTGAACAGCTGAAGAGTGAGGTAGAGGGATTCTTTCCTTGGAGGAGCCATAAAAATAGTTCTGTGGTGGTTTCATGTTTGCTTTTTGATCATTCATCATGTAAGCCCAGTATGGCTTGGTGTCCCCACTGCCTTACTGCCATAGTGAACATGAGAAGTCTGCTCTGGTCCAGCTCTCCTCCTGTGATCTTCCCCAGGATCATGGTCACCAGGCTGGAAGCCAAGAGGATGGCATACTCTTGATTGGCCTTCCAGGTTTTACATTAGATTTCAGTGTCACTAGTGTGCGTGTATGTGTCCGGGGATGAAGGTGGGGGTTGGAAGCAGTGAGCCACAGATGCTCAGCAGTATTGCGAGAGTGGCAGGTGCTCCTGCTGTTGTTGCTGCCATAGCTGCCACCACCACTACTATCACCAAATGAATCCAGAATGACCTTGTGTAAGACTACAGTTGCTGGTCAGTGCCATGAAAATGTCATCTATGTAAACCACGATGCTTATACTTGGGCAGTTCTGTCTGTCAGAAATCTTGGCGAGGTATAAAAGTGACCCTTTTGAAAGTTGAATCTGTAAGCCTGCATGTGGAAAGTGACTGTCAGAACAGAACATCACCACCTCCAAAGCAGAGAGCCCTCCCAGAACTTGTTTTCCAGCTCACGCAGGAAATGTGCACCTATGAAAGTAGATTAAGAATCACCACCTCAGCCTGTTTTAGAGATGTGAATAAAAATCTTGGCTTGGGACTGCCTTCTTTCTGGTTGACTGATTTTTCAATTGATTTGTATTTATTAGCTAATGAAATTAAAGTTGTAAAAATGATAACAGAAACACAATAAATCTCTCCCACAACTGGCTGTTTCTATGTCACTATGGTGCATTCCTCACTTTGATTACTTCAAAGTCTATTATTTTGTTTTCAATTATTCTGTTTTTCTGGCACTGGAGAAAATCAATTTGTTTTATTTTCTCTTATTCATGCACTCAATTATGCTCTTCGAGCACATTTAATCACTTTGATGTTTTCATTTTATGGCCCGTCTCTAGGCACTTCAGCTGCATTGCTGCCAATGGGCAAGCAGGACTAATTTGCATGTCACAATAGACTTGAAATTCTAACTCAATTTAGAAATCTTTGTGAAATCTCTCTCCAAAATGTGCTTGGAGCTGCAAAGAGGCAGAAGAATGTTGGCAAACCAGGAGCCTGTAAAGATGCTTTTCTTTCTCAAAAGACTATGAGCTCCTTCATGACCCGACCATGGCTTGGGGCAGTCCCTGTCCAGGTACAGCCAGAGACCATGGGATGGGAGGTCTGCAGACCTTCCTCTGGAGCTCTGTGGTGAGAATCCTGCAGCAGCTGTCCCTCAATGGCAAGGCCAAGGAGGCTAAGCCACTTACACTGGCAGAAAATGACCCTTAGCACTGCTGGATTTGGTGGCTGTGCTCAAGACAGCACCTGAATCTCAGTTGGCTAAAGGGCCTCTGGGTAGACTGACAAAGTTGTCAACAGATAGGCATTCCAAAACCCTGAGTGGTTTACCTCAATTTTTCTAATAATTTCCAACCTTCCTTCTACCCCTTGATCATTTTAGAGCTAGAAGCTGGAGGGGAATGAGCAAAACAATTGCTTTGGGCATGTAATTCGGGCACACAAGAAAAAATCCTTAATTAAACACATTAGAGGCCTCCAACTACTCTTTGAATATTCTTGGTTTGTTTATGCAACAATCAGCAGCTCTGTCAGGCAGAAGGAAAATTCCTTATTTCTTCTTCTAAGCTTTGGGTATGATCCTCAGCTTCTCAGGTGAAATCCTAGCTTCCGCACTTACCTGCTGTGTGACCTTGTATAAGTGAATTAACTTCCATAGGCCTCAGTTCTTACATCTATTAAATGGGGCTAATAACATTATATATATTAGAGACTGATCTGCTTCCTAAACTTCTATACTGTCAAGAGTTTGGCCATATTCACATACTGCTTATATGGACATAAAAAAAACCCAAAAAAACAAAAACCCAGCCTCACCCTAAGCAATATCTTTGAAACCAAAGAGTTTGATCTGATAATTATATTTTGTAATACACATTGAAACATATTAAATCTATTCCTGCTTGGGGTCTTTGACCTTGCTAGTCTCTTCATCTAGAATGTACTTCGCCCCCAGTTTTTTTTTTTTTTTTTTTTTTTTTTTTTAAGACAGTGTCTCACTCTATTGCCCAAGCTGGAGTGCAGTGGTGCAATCATGGCTCACTGCAGCCTTGACCTCCTGGGCTCAATTGATCCTCACATCTCAGCCTCCCAAGTAGTTGGGACTACAGGTATGCACCATCACACCCAGCTCAATTTTACATTTTTTGGTAGAGACAGGGTTTCACCATGCTGCCCAGGCTGGTCTCAAACTCCTGGGCTCAAGTGATCTGCCTGCATCAGCCTCCCAAAGTGCTGGGATTACAGGCATGAGCCACAGTGCCCGGCCGAACCCAAATTTTGTATATCTCCTTCTCTCATTTCATTAATCTCTTCCCAAATGTCACCTCCTCAGAGAGGCCTTTACTGAATAGCACCCCTCCGAATTCAGCAGTAAACAACATTACATATTTATTTAGTTGTTTATTATCTATCTTCCAGACTAGAATGTAATCTCCATGATGGGCAAGGACTTTATTTGGCCTATTTCCTTCATGTTTTTTATTTTTATTTTTTGTCTTTTTAAAAAAATTTTCTTTCCTTCATTTTTTTTAAGAGACAGGGTCTCACTATGTTGTCCAGGCTGGTCTCAATCTCCTGGCCTCAAGCAATCCTCCTGCCTGAGCTTCCTGAGTATTTGGAATTACAAGCCCACACCACTGTGCCTCGGTTATCTATTCTATTTACTTCCGTATTGCCAGTGCCCAGAATAGTGCCTGGCACATATTAACACTAAATAGTTACTGTTAGGCTTCCCTTCCATTCCACTAGGGTGGTGTCAAAGAAGGCAGAGTAGAAAGCCAGGATTTTCCATCTCTGCTTAATGGCAAGGAGGCCCACGCAGTGCTATGTTAGTAGAGGCCAAATGGAGAGCAATAAAAAGGTGCCGCTCCCATTTTTGGCCAGAGTGGTATCAGTGGAGGTCTATCGGAGAGCCTGAATTCTACTCCACCCAACAATACTGAGGTGCCTCTCTTCTCCCCAGGGTGTCAATGGTGGCTGAGTAAGGAAGCTAGACTTTTACTCCCCACCTGGAGGTAATAGGGTACTGCCCTCCATCCCTGCCAGCAGGTATTACTTTTTTTTCTGACTACAAAAACAATACACATTCATGGAAGAAATTTTGAAAAATACAGAAACAGAATTAAAAAAATCATTTATAATTTCAATTCCAGATAACTACTCTTAAGGTATACTACTTTGGTAAAGTAGCACCAAAGACAACTACTGTTAGCATTTCCTTCTTGTGTTTTTCTGTGCATATTCCCCCTCCCAAAACACACACTACATATAGCTACAAAATGTAGACTATATAGTAGTAAGCCACTTTGTATCCTGTTCGTTTCACTTAACATTGTAATCATGAGCATATTCTCGTGCCATCAAATTATCTTTACAAATTTGCTTTTTAATTGGCTGTAACACATTTTTTCATATAGATACACTGTATGGAATTAGTATGAGACCTCAAATTCAATACATCAAAAGAGAACACATCAAGTATATGTTTCAGTAAAGCTATGTCCCCTCCCCCAACAGCTTCCCATTTCAGTCGGTATCCAGGCTGGAAATCTCAGAGTCACCTTTCCTTCTTCCTTTCTCCTCTATCCTCTATAAATGGCCTACCTCCCAGTGCTGGTGATGATACTCTCTTCATAACAGCTCTCAGTCATTTCTTCCTATTTCACCACCACTATTCTAGTCCAGGATCTTGCAGTCTCAGTCTTGTACTACTATCACCATTCATCCCAAATATCACTGTATCATGTGGTGCTCTAATTCCAGAACCTAGAATGACTTCCACTTTACTGTGGATATGAACTAGTCAGCCCAAAATTCAAGGGAACCTGCAATCTGCCCCCCATCCCCCTCTTCTGAAACTCCCTTGCTTATAAGTGCATCACTACTGATCTATTCAAATCCTCCCAGCCTCCTGAAAGCAATCTCCCTAAAGTCTTACTGCCCAGTCTCTCCACTATATAGTGTCAGCCCTTATTATATTCTGATCTGTCCGAGGGGCTTAGCTTTGTCTCCTCACCTAGATTTCTCAACTGTTTATCAGGAGGAAGGATCATGTCTTAAACACCTCGCATATCTCCCAATGGCACCAACATGAGTGGAATGTGGTTAAAAAATATATGTGTTGATTGCTTGAGCTGGGCTTTAAAGTGGAGTCACAATCATATCTCTTTAAATTAAACTGGTTCTGAAGCTCACTTTGGGAGACTGTGCAGGGGGAAAGGGTTTACTAGGGGAAGGTTTTATTAGTGACTGGAAAAAACCAGAAGGGAGATGATGAGTAGGTGTCACAGGGCAATGCTGCCATGGAGAAGAGGGCCACCAGGTCTGGGTTCAAATCTTGAGTTTACCACTTACTTGTTATGTGACTAGGGCATGTTACACAGTCTTCAGGTGCCAGTCTCCTACCTCATAAGGAAATTGTGAGGTTAAATGAGATCATGTATGTGAAGTACCTAGCATAGGGTGTTGTGCTGTACCCTGTCAATATCAGTTCCCACTTCACAGATTTATGTAGAAATTTCAAGTTTCATGAGGGATATGCCAAGGGTTTTCATGGTTTGTTAAAGCTTCTGTCTAAGTTACTATAGTTTTGGGAAGCAGTCTCTATTTTTATTTTAGAAATATAAAACTTTTTTTTGTAGATAGGATCTGTCTCTGTCACCCAGGCTGGAGCGCAGTGGCACAATCATGGCTCACTGCAGCCTCAACCCCTCTGAGGTCAAGCAATCCTCCCACTTCAGCTTCCAATGTAGCTGGCACTACGGGTATATACAACCACACTCGGCTAATTTTTGTATTTTTTGTACAGACAAGGTTTCACCATGTCATCCAAGCTGGCCTTGAACTTCTGGGCTCAAACAATCCACCTGCCTCAGTCTCCCAAAGTGCTGGGATTACAGGCTTGAGCCATAATGCCTGGCCCAGAATTTGTAAAATTTTTAGCATGACATTTTTATAACTTATTTTTCTATTTAACAACAACAACAATGACAACAAGAAACTTTTCCAGCTCTTATACGCTTTAGTGAAACAAGAAAGGGAGGAGCCTGCTTGATGAGGAAGCCCAAGCTGGCAGTAGGCTCCTGGAAAGGACCACGGGGAGCCACAGAGGAATAAAGAGCTAGCAGGGGACAGGAAAGAAAAACAAAGGATGGACATCACAGAGATTTTCACTGGAAGTCATGCAAATTGGCTCAGGTATCCTCTGCAACCCTGCTCCGAAGTCCTTCCAAGAAGCCCTAAAGCAAATGGTCAGTTTATCCTTGGGAACAACCCTACCTTTCAACTTATCCTCATGGCTGCTCAAGAAGCAAGAGATAGTGTGGAAGGAAGCCAAGTTTCCATGGTATAGAGTCCCACCATGCAGGAGCACTGCTTCAAGCCCGGGGCTCCAGCAGGCCTTGAATATGCCCAGACCTGAGCTCCAATTTCTAGCCCCTAGAAGAATGTCAATCCCAGACGTCAGGCTGCCAGAGGAAGTGCTGCTTATACTCAGCACAATGTTTCTCCTACGAACACTACCAGCAGATGTGCAAAGGGTCTCAGACTGGGGCTGTGGAACTGTAAATGGCAGACTGGGTCTGGTGGCTACAGCACACTTCAGGCAGCAGGAGTTGGGTGAGCTGGCTTCTTCTACGTTCCATCCATATCTTTTTGTTCTCTACTCATCTAGAAAGGGAGCTAGAAGCTTCTGATTACAGTATGGAGGGGATGGGGTGGGACCTAGGGAGGGCTAAAAAGCCTATGTGGAGGGCCAGAATTTCGAAGGTTGCTCAAGGCTGTCTTCTTCCCGTTTCCAGGGAGCCATGAGACTTTAGGTGCTTAGATTAGCCACATGGAAGGAGCTGGGCATGTAGTATGTGGTAGGAGGGTTTACTAGGGGTGATTGGAAAGAGCAGATGGGATGACAAGTAGATTTGACAGAGCAATGCTGCAAAGAAGAGGAGGGACACCAGAAATGTCAAACAGCCTGATTCTAAAGCTCCAATCCAGGCCTGGGTTCCAATGTCCACTCTGTTGCTTATTAGCACAGTGTGTGGCACACAGTAGGTGTTCAGTAATTACTTGCTGAACAAATAAAGGCAACCTTGGCCAAGTCACCTATCCTCCCTGAGCCTCAGTTTCCTCATCTGTAAGATAAATAGTAGCTATTATTCTTATTCTTCATCTGTGTTGTTTCTGTCCATACCCATATCAGTTTGTTAGGTTGCCATCTTATCTCCTTCAATAAGGATAAAAAAGAGCAGATGCATGCAAGGCCTTTTTCTTCCCTTGTGTCTTCTGCTTCCTCCTCCTCTCCTCCTCCTCTTTTCTTCCTGACCTTGTTTGTTTCTTTTTCTGTCCCAGTCAAACTTGGGGAATAGTTCTGGGAACACAGAGCAAGTGTTGAAACCTCCGGTCACAACTGTAACACATTCTCATAAATGCACAACTCCCCCACTCCTGCTCCCCAAGAGGATTGGGCCTGTGCTGCAGTGTGGAGCTCTGAGTCTCCTACGGGCCTCCACTTGATTCAAATGCCATCAGTACCAGAGACTAGAAAGCCTCCTACCTCTGTCTGCATTTCCCCATGCAGAGCTAGCCAGGCTTGAGGAGCTAGCCCTCCCTGGGGATTAATCATATCAGCATTATTTAAATTCTGGAAGGTTCACATGAGCCAATTCCTCTGGAGTACATTAACCAGAGGAAAGGCGACCAGTTTTAAGCATATGAAGATGGTGCGACTATGATTTTACAGTGGCAGTCATGAGCTGGGCCAAGTCATCTGCTCTCTAACCTGTACTTTCTTATGAACAACGACACATGCCTTCAAGATAGCCCACTGGCATGAGAGGAGCTTTTCTCTTTGTGAAGCTAACAGCTTGAATGGACTCTCCATGATTTTGTGGGTCTTTTTTCCTCTCAGAAAGACTAACGGGCAGTAAAGATGGGATAAAGTGAGGTCTAAATTTGCCTGTCCCTTCAGTCATCCTGTGGCATGTGGAATGCATCTCTGTAAGATGAATCTTCTCAGGTTTGATTTCCAATAGGCTACAATCACATCTTTTGCCCTTCTAAGGGATGTGGCGAGAAAGAGAAAAAACCCAAGCTTCAAGGCTAAACAAATTCAACTAGACATGCTGGCTGAAGTCCCTCACATAGAGTGGAGCTGAATCCATTCATTCCCTCATTGCCATCTTACCTCCCCAAAGCAATCTGTGTCCCACATCCTACTCTTTGTTTTTCACGGGGCGAGGAGAGGTGGAGGGGAGGTACAGTGAAAAATATCCAGCTTCACTGAGGTTTTTATATGTAAGAACAAATAACAGTCTTGTAGACAGGAAAATTTTTCAGAAATCAGAAAATTCAGCAGCCTTTCCACACTGACCATTGTCATGGCAACACACTGTCTGATGGCAGCATGCGTCACCACACTGGAGGGGCACAGTATCAGTATAGCAGGTTAGCTTGGCCATATTTAGCAACATTTGGACTTCTTTCTAGCCTCATTTCTTCTAGGTTTAGCTGAATTTCTCTTTGGTTCTGAGCTTGTGTGTTCTGCTAAATTTGCATGGCTAGAACACAAGACTTTGTCAACATGAAAGGGATGGCTAAATGGAAAATCTGAACTAGTGATCTACAGCCACTCCACTTGCTGTCTACCCTCTCCGGCTCCTCCTCACCCACTCTTAACCGTGTAGTTTCTCTTCTCTGCATCAGTTCTTTCCTATACACAGCATCCTCTCCCCACACCCAACAACTGTGACTCAGCTAGCAACCCCAGCACTCTCACCATATTCTTTCTTTTTCTATTTGCTCATTGTAACATACAGCATCCTAGAATCTTAGGGTTGGAAGGAGCCTTAACAGCAATTGAGTCTAATCATCTTCCCTCAAGGCAGGAGCCCTTCTATAATATGACAGCCTATGATTGTCTAGCTGCTATTTCTATATCTCCAGTGACAGAGACCTCATGCCTTTCTGGGCAGTCTGTTCTACTTTGAATAGTTCTAATTGTTAGAAAATGCCTTCCTTCTATTGAATGAAAATCTACCTTTTAAAAATAACCACCCATGGGTCCAACTATGTGCCTTGTGGCCACATGGACCCTGTCTATGCCCTTTGCTCTGTGACAGATAAATGAAGTAGAAACCACATCCCCGAGTATTCTCCAAAAGGCCCCAGTACCTCCCACCAGACCTCTTGGAGCCTGCGCTCCAGTCCTCTCCCCAGCCCGACTGACCTCCAAGAACATGCTCCTATTTGTCTAGAGCCCTTTAAAATGAGGTCGATACTGCATTAGCATCTCTAGAGGCCACCTTGCCCTGGTGACTCATACTGAGCTTTGAGTTGACTCAAATCCCTAATTCTCTTTTAGCAAAATGCTGCTAAGCCATGTTGTCCAGATTTGAAAGTGTGTAGTTGCTTTTGTAGGACCCAATTCCTGGTCCGTATGTTATCTCCCAGTTTGATTTCATTGTGTTACAATCAGAATATGGCTTTAACCTGTTAGAATCTTTAACAAACTTGACTTCCATGTAATTTTCATGTCCTTTAAGATCTATTATTTTTTTCACCAACCCTCATCCTAGCCTTTTATCTCAAATCTGTTTGATTTTTACTTTTCCTTGTTCTCTTCCCTTTGCATTCCCTTCCTTATGTCTTCTCTCGCTTGTCATTTCCATTTCACCACTCTCTGGAGCTACGTGCCTGGGTATGTGTGCAGGGAAGCAAGGGCATACATGCATCTGCACATACGGAGGTGTGAGTGAGTAGCTGCAAGGCTTGCTTAGTTTCCCTGTTTCTATTGCTTTGTCTGTGCTCTACCAGGATTTAGAGCCTGAATGGGGGAAAATGGCAGTGTTAAAGAAAGAAGGGTAAGAGAAGCTTGTCCAGGATCAGTTCTGAGGAACACAGGACATGTGTCCCAGGTTTGAGGGGAGCAGGGGAAACTAGAGTTGAATGGGTAGTGTTCATCAGGGCTGCAACACAGTGAGAAAGACTGGAGAAGGACCAGGAGTGGAAGGATTTTCAAGGTCTTAAAAGTTGGATAAGGGAGGAGGATTTGGTTAGGAAGCAAGGACTTGTGGTGTCAGTAGCCATTGAGAGGTGAGAGGGAGGTAGCTTGAAGCTATAGGGTCAGGAGAAGGTCAAGGGCTAAAGATGCCTCAGAAGAGACAATCAGCAATTCTGTGAGAATAGCCTTGAGAGTCTATGACTTCTTAGTTTAGAAACTTTTCTCTGGCTAAATGAGCTCAGGACATGAAGATTTTGCTGCTGTCATATACTGGGCTCTGCTAGTGGATGGGGGCATTAATGTAACCTGCAGCAAAGACTCTCAGGGCATAGAGTGTTTCCTCAGACTAACTCCAGCATTGAACAGGCCTCCTTTTTGTGTTGGATTATATTCCAGTGAGGGACTCAGAGGTAGGATAACTGGTGCTATCTTGGTCATTTTATGAATAAACATGGGAATTTCTCTGTCCATAATGGGCAAAAAGATACCCTTGGTCTCTTACTCTGGCAAATAATTAGGATAAAAAAAAATACACACATGCATATGCACATTACATTCAACAGGAGAATGGGTGTCAAAAATACTTAATGCAAATCGTGGATGAAGTGAGTTGTGAAGAAGCAGCTGGAGTTGAGAGGGGCCCTACTGGAATGCTGAGTGCAGTGACCCCAAAGAGCCAGGGACAGTGGGATCAGGAGGGCAATGCCCTGATGACTGCCACTTACCTCCACCCCGAGGCCAGAATGACTCCAGGCCAGCCTTGGGGAAGGGGAGGATGCTAGGCCAGTAGCCTATCTGCACCACTCTGGCTAAGTCCAGGGAACCTGCTCCCAGGGCATCAGAATACCTGACTATTCATTGTAGTCCACATTATTTCAAAGCTCTACTGGATCAAGGAATCATACATATTGGAACAGAATGTCTGCGAGTCCCCTCCCCATCCCTGCTAAGTCTGAGTTGACTTGAATTTTCCTCTTTTTTTTTTTTTTTTTGGTGGGGAGGGACAGGGTCTCACCCAGGCTGGAATGCAGTGGTGTGAACATGGCTCACTGCAGCCTCGATCTCTTGAGCTCAAAGGATCCTCCTGCCTCAGCCTCCCAAGTATTTGGAACCACAGGCACATGCCACTATGCCTGGCTATTTTTAAAATTTTTTTGCAGAGTTGGAATCTCGCCATGTTGCTCAGGTTGGTTTTGAACTCCTGGGCTCAAGCAATCCTCCCTCCTCAGCCACCCAAAGTGCTGGGATTATAGGCATGGGCCATGGTGTCCCGCCAACTTTTCTCATCTTAAAGAGTGCTTTACTATTGGCCTTTTGAAATAAAAAGGGTCTCAGGGAACACTTTAGAACTGATTTTCCCCTGGAGGTGCCAAAAGCTGAACACTTTGTCCTTCTGAGGTGACATTAGCCAGCCAAATGACAATCCCAACCGGAGTGGCTAGTGTAGAATTCCAGCTACAAGCTGTCAGGCCAAGAAGAGGTTTCCCTTCCAAGTCAGTGAAACGATTAGCTACCAAAAGGCAAATGGTATTTAAGGAAGCCCCCACTGATGGGCCACCACAAACTGGGTGGAACAAGGAGGGCAGCCCTCGAGGGGCGGTACTCACCTTTGATGTAGTTGAGGATTTGCTGGATTCGGTGGGGCTCATTGCGGTCTGGCCGGCAGCTTGGTGTGATTTCCAGCACATAATCAGGACCATATGCTGTGAAAAACTGTAAGGAAAAGGGAAAGGCCAAAAAACAAACTAAGTCACATAAAACCTCCAAACCAACCACATACAAACAATCAAAAGAAACTCACACTACCACAAGGCAAGGGAGGCCTCCTTGGGCTGAATAGGATGATGCAGCAGGAGGCCCTGCCTTGGTGGTATCACTACTCCCCTTGCTCAGACCTTCAGTGATAGTCCCCTGTGAAATTATTTGGCTTGCTGTCCAACAGTTCTCTGCTCAGGTCTCAACTTTCTCTCCAACTTCAGTTCTTATTGCTTCCTTGTCCTCTAGCCACACTAGTCTGTTTGGTGCTTTTCCAAATCACACCATGCTTTCTCTTCCCTTAGGATCTTTGCCATTGCTCTTTCCTGGGGCCTGCAAAGGCCCTCCCCCAGTCTCTGCTGCCTGTGAAAAACCTCCCCATCCTTCCAGGCACAGCTCAAATGTCACCTCCTTCACAAAGCTGTCCCTCCTTCTCCACCAACCCCAAGAACATTCTGTTGATACTTCTTTCAGGGCCCTTAAACACACAGCGCTTGCCTGCACATCACATGCAGGTCACTGTGCTGGCTGCAGAGGGGCTGTAAAGATGGATGAGACCTCCTCTGGGGTCCTCTAGGTGTTCACAGGCATATTCTGCATTGGACTGAGGTTTTTCAACAGTGACCCAATCTCCCCACACTGGATTGTCAGCTCCCTGAAGGCAGGCAGCACCTGTCTGTGTCTTATTCATCTCCTTGGTCCCCACAGACCATGGCAGCTGCCTGTTAGTTTTGGCTGCCTTGAATTCCATGTCCCAGGAATGGCAATGAAGTCTAGTTTCTCTACTTTAATTTTTCTTTCTCAGTAGTAGAGTTTATTTGTTTTTAAATTCAGGGAATCAAAATAAATGTTTGTGGATTCTATTTCTAGCTTGGTAGATGACTCCTTGTGACCTTTGGGAAGTCACAATATCTGATTCAGCTTCTCTGGTAGGGCCCACTTGGGGTAAAACATTCCTTGACAAAGGGAATCATTCAATTGGGATAAGTCTTTGAATGGGAAATATGCAAAGCTACTATTTCTGTTTAGTTTTTAACAGAAATAGTATTTGTGCAAACTCTCCAGAGGGAGAGCATATGGTCCTTAACATTATGTGCTTTCAATAGTGATATTGTTAGTTGGTAAGTAAACCAGGGAAATTCAAATTCTATGAAAAAAAAGTGGTACAGAGGACATGAAAAAAGAATATTGATATGCATCATGACTTTGATATCATTCAAATAGCTTCTTAAAAATAATCCAGAGTTATTGCCATTGTCACCAAATTATCCTTGTTAAGAGTCTGGATGTACATCTGGCAGCGTGGGAGATGTTGTGGAACAATCTCTAGGGATTCTAACAGTGTCTTTGTAGAATCCATGGAAGTAATTTGATGTGGAGATGGTTTCCCACACCCGTGACAGAAAACTCTACACATTTAATTAAAAGAAAAAAAGAAGAATGCCTAAGACTGTGCCAATGCTTATAATGCCCTTTGTGTGTGTATATGTGTATGTGAACTGATCTAGAAAGAGAGGGTCTTAGGTCCTTCCTGCTATTACTCTCTGATGCCTGAAGCTGCAAGTTACAGAGATAGAAAAGCCTTTGAGTAGAGATTATCTTTACCAAACCCATATGTGGAACAGACAAGAGGTGTTACCTGGGGGACACATCCACAGCCAGTACCCCCTTGCCCCTGCATCATGATTGAAGAAACTTTAGAGGCTTGTATTTTTAGGCAAGGAGGGCCCCTCAGTCCAAGTTTGAGGACCGTTTGGGCTTGGCTGTGGAAGAGAAGGCTTTAAACAGCTGTGGCACTCTCTCCTTAGGCAGCCTCTTCTCCAGAGTGTGTCAATTGGTACACTCATTTCATGGGTACGGAAAGACAGGCTTAGAGAGTACAACAGAAGGCAGGCAGCTGCAATGAAGAAGCTCCTCTCGGAGACCCAAAGCCCTGGCATCAACATGCTATAAAAATCAGGGGTGGGGTGCCTAGCTGAGGTATAGGAGGAGGGAATGTTGTGCCTCCAGTTGCAAAGATGACACTGCCGATTCTCTGTCAGTGAGACATGTCATGAGCTGCTTGATTAGGGCTGAGTGTTTGGAACAACACGTCCTCACTTATGTGTGCCTATTATGCACTTACCCTCACTCTCCTACTTTAGCTCCCTCTTTGACCAAGAGCACACGGTTGCAAGATGTTCAGCTGGGACCAGGATTGGCTGCTGTGTGACAGAACTCAGTTCTACCGGGATTAAGCCTCTTGTCCTGGTATCATTAGCACCTGGCTTTTAACTAACTGAGCCACATGGTAGGCACAATCATATAAAACTCATTCTTTGCTGAAGCAGACTGGCTGCAGGTAATAGCGAAGTCTGGGTTCCTCAACTTCTCCCCACCTTTGCCAATCAAATGTTATTTCCAGTATTTGCACTATTCTTAGATTAGGGGGCTCAGATGATTTAAGAAAGTCCTTGTGTTGTGAGCCAGTTCTACATGGCAGCTGGCTGGCCTGCAAAGGTAGAAACTTACGTCATGTTTTCTTTGCATACCCTATAGCGTCCAACTCAAGTCATTACAGGTTTCCCTTAAATGTATGTTGAATTAAATTAACTCACCAAGGATTTAGCTAGCCATATAGCTAATTGTGTAAAATAATTCAAAGAATCAATTCATAGCATTAATGGTTTTTCTAGACTCTTGAGGCAGCATGATGAAGTGGAAAGAGCACTGGCTATAGAGTCAGGGGAGCTAGATTTTGGTGCCTAGGTTTAGCGTGTGTGCCTTGGGTAAGCTTCTTTTTTTAAAAAAATTTTAAAAAATTTCATTAGCTTTTGGGGGTACAAGTAGTTTTTGGTTACATGGATGAATTATATAGTGGTGAATTCTGAGATTTTAGTGTACCTGCCATCAGGTAAGCTTTTAAATCTCTGTTTCATCATTTTTACCTGATGATGACAAATGCTGATCTGGTTGGGTTGTTAGGAACCAATGAGATAATATCTATAAAAGGGCCTAGCACAGGGCGCAGCACATAGTAGGACTTCAATAAATGTGAATTCCCTTCTCCTGGGGCAAGAGGCCCTTGCCTAACTAAGCCTCATCCATACCCTGAAGGATATCAGGTGAAGTGCTTAGGGCTGAGATGTACAAAGAGGAGCCTGTTCTTCCTGCCAGAGCAAGCCCAGCAGCCTCAGTGTCCCTTTCCACTTGCTTAAGCCATTAGCTTACCCTAGGAGAAATTGACTAGCCTGTGGAGAAGCTGACTTCTCTCAGTTTCCTGTCCTATAGTCCTGCCACTTGTTACTTACTGGCGAGGTGGAAAGGAAATATGATCACGTAAGGCAAAAGAGATGTTGGGGTGGAGGGATTTGGCTAGAACTAGAAATAGCTTGAGGCCCCACCCTGAAACTGCCCTCCAGTCCTGAAGAGGAAAAGAAATCGGCAAGCAGCAATCCCATTCCCAGACAGGTGGAGCAGGGGATGAAAGAGGCCAGCTGACCTTCAAGGGAAAATGCTGGCTTTGATCTCAGTAAAGAAAAGAGGGAGGTGCTAACCTCTCTCCACCCCTTCCCCTTTCCCCCTCAGCACTTCTTTTGCTTTCTGGGCTTCAGTTTATGCACTTTTGAGGGGGAATATAGTACTGAAAAGGAGGCAAATGGAAAGTATTAGATGAGGCAGAAATGAAAGGTAGTGGCCACTTTAGCGTAGTCAGTCCCTTTCAATCCTAGAGTCAATGAAGAAAGAAATGTAAATAGCTCAGCTTGAGTTCAGTTCAGCCCACCTCAATGCTCTTTTCTTGCTCATGTCTCTTCAGGTCTTGCTTACACAGTGAAAGCAGCATACAACTAGATAGTTGGTCAAAAAGATATTCAGAAGCCCCAAGGTTGCTGCTATTCCTCCATTATCATGTTTGGTTAGAGGAAACCAAGCAACAAACCTGAATCCACCAATCCTTTTATCCTTGCCTCAACATTTAGTATCTACTATGTGCCCAACTAGGTTAGTCATCAGGGTACAAAGACAATAAGATATGTTTCATAGGAGGGATTATTATAGACCGGTATGATGAGCGGTATAATATTAGCCATACTAAAAATAAAAGTAATAACCACTAACACGTATTACAAGCTTATTATGTGTCAGGCACCTAAAGTTTCTAAGCGTTATTATCATTATTATTTTTTGAGATGGAGTAACACGCTGTTGCCCACGCTGGAGTGCACTGGCATGATCTTGGCTCCCTGCAACCTCTGCCTCCTGGGTTCAAGAGATTCTTCTGCCTCAGCCTCCCGAGTGGCTGGGACTACAGGTACACGCCACCACACCATGGTTGCTGGGGGTGGGGGGAACTTACTACAGAGTAAGAAGACAGGAGAGGCAAGAAAAGAATTATGGGGAACAGCACTACTTCAGAGGTGGGCACAGGGAGTGCAAACAGTTCTGGCAACAATTTGAAATCTTGCTGAGAGGGTAAAAAAGAGGAAGGCTGAAAAGTGTCTTCTGATTTGTCCACTGGAAGGGGACATTTGCTGCAGCAAAGTCAGTGGAGGGTGGGCAGAAGTCTGATGGGAGTGAGGAGGCAGAGATGAGAGTGATGATGGAAATACAGTAGTCCCCCCTCATCCCCGGGGGATAGATTCTAAGACTCCCAGTGGATGGCTAAAACCGCAGATAGTAATGAGCCTGATTGTTCTCAATGGGAACAGGTTTCTGTTGTCTTCCACCCACAGATTTAATGCCTTTTCCTTCTTAATTAGGCATTTATCCTTCACTGTGGCTGTAACTTTTGCAGTTTGAGGTGCGAAAGCAAACCTAGCACAGATTCCTTCCTTCACTCCTTCCTTCCTCCCTTCCTTCCCCCTTTCCTTCCCTCCTTCCCTCCTTCCCTCCTCCCTTCCTCCCTTCCTTCCCCCTTTCCTTCCCTCCTTCCCTCCCTCCCTCCCTCCC